GAGGTAGCTGACTGTTGAGCGTTTGTCAGAATGTGATGAAACAATTTGTCGCGTGGACATCAGTTGATATGGGCTCGAATATACGCGTATAAACCTTTCTTCCGCCTTGCAGTCGCTACTTACCGTCATGAGTGAAATAGTGATATATTAAGCTTTCATAGTAACACCTTTTCATAGTGTATTCAAAACCGGCAGTACCGATTATATCTATTACACGATAAGTTAATAGATTATACTGATTTCTTTTCTTCATTCATGGTTCAGACTATGCCGGTAAATTATTTTGCGCGCATGAGTTTCCTAACTGTGCATCAAGGAAATAATCCGTTGAAGAGCATGCAGTCAAAGGCCTTCAAAGAAATTTTGAGGTATGGATAATTATAGACAGTGTTATATATTCTGAATGTACATCAAATTGTACATACCATATGCGTACTAAATCGATAATTGCTCGAATTACAATCTAAATCGTTATTGACTTTGCTATTATACAGTTCTAGCACGGTATATACTGTAATGACCGTAAAAGGCTCAAAATATACTGTATTTAATATATCAGAACTTGTTATACTGTATCTGCCGAATTCTTATCACACAACAGTAATTTTACTACATGGATGATTTTCATGTTCATATAATCTTTACTTCAATCTTACTGTACATCGGTAAACATACTGTATCTACAGTAATCTATGGAAATAATGGTGAATAGCATACTGTAGATGAAAAATTTTTGCTTTTATACAGTATAATCTTCCAAATTTTTGGCAATTATGATTTGCAAGTATTATTTTTAAAATACTTTTTCGTACTCAATTGTTGGAAACGTTTAAAAAAACTTACTCAGGAACAGAGCAGTTGCATATCTAAGCTTGGTTAGCATTAGTCTCAGATCGTTTATTGGTTTAAAGGCCAATACAAAACAGAACAACATATTCCAAATCCATTCTTAAAAATATCAATCAACAATGCTGCAAAAAATGTTTCCGGTCGTTTAGCACGCAGTAGTGATTGATGCCACTAATAACCGAGCGTAGTGAATGCCAGTAACTTTTATTCTCATAATGTTGTTCGATGGTTCTTGTCACTTCAATAGATGGAATACGCATATCTTCGATACCAAGTGCTGCAATCATTCGGCTGATAGCTTATATGAATTCGATTCCCTCGAATTTGAATTCATCACTTATTCTTTCATCGTCCAAAATCAAATTACCGTTTACGTGAAAGACCGTAACGTAAGATGAAATACGACCGCCATCTTCTTCAGATTTCAGAGCCAATATCAGAGAGTCGTCGGTGCCTGGCACAAACTGAAAAGCAGAAAATCCACGTATCAAGTTCAGTTGTCCGACAGTACGAAATTCCACGTTTTCAAACTGGTCATCACTTATAAGCATGACGTTAGTAGCTAAAATACAAATTTCTTTATAGCATCGCTAAGTACAATTTGTGATATAATTTGTACGTAAGTAATCTTTGACTAATAACAGAGCCGTCGGCAAATGCGTGGCGAGAGCAGAACAAGACTGCGCAAAGATAAAAACAGACCAATGAGAGTAAATTTCTTCACACGGACAACGGGGAGCAATGATGACGTAAGGCCAAATTTTGTTGGCGTAGGCTAGTCTTCCCATATTCTCCATCGCCTC